ACAGAAAGGTCCTTGTGCGCACATGACCCGCTATTGGTGTCCTTGGTCCCCGCCCCCCCACCACACACACAGCCTGGACGCGTGGTCTGGAGTCAGGAGAGCAGTGAGGCCCTCATTGCATCTTTCAAATCGATCATGCTTATCAAAAAGCAAGAACCATCCTCCCCATGCTTGACGATTGTGGGATGAACCAGTGCTCACTTTTTCTGAAAATACCTCCTTTCAAAGCCATTTTTCTGAAGGGGTCAGGATGGGAACTTTGGATTCAGATGGGCCCAGGGCGGAATCCCAGCCCAGTGTTTATTGGGCTTTAGGTGGGTCATTTAACTTCCGAATGACTCAGTCTCCTTGTCTTTGAAATGGGTTTCCTCATACCCACCCCCGTTGGGCTGGGTCGGCACAGTGATGGCTGCGATCACACAAGGGATGCCTAACTCCCCCACCCCACTTTCCCTTTCCCGGGAAGTAGGAGAGTTTTACCCTCCTAGGGGTGGGGACAAGGTCAGGTTTTGACTGGATCTGGGGAGGGAGGAAGGTCAACAGTGGGCAACACTCGGCATTAGAAGGACCCTTGTCCCCAAGCCCATGGGGGAATGACCTTCTGAAGGTGAGACGGATGGAAGCCCACACAAATTTCACCTCTTCCCAAGCTCCCCTGTCCCCACGAAGCCTTAAGAACAGCTCCTACCAGCGCCGCACCAGCCTGCGGGCTCAGAACCCCCTTGAGAGGGGGACAATTTGTCCACACTCCCTGGAAAGATAAGGCTTAAGAGATAAAGGCTCTGGCTGGCCTCATCTCTGAAAGTCACTTACTGTAACGAAGCTTTTTCTCAAGAACCAACTGGGGCTGGATAAGGGGGACCCAGGAAATCGGGAAAGGGGAGGAGCGAGCGGCTGGTACCCGATCTGTTCCCAGAATGCTCCGCAAAGCGATTTCAGCCTGACAAGGCAGCAAGGGCACAGGCTGGAGTGAGAAAACCCAGGTTTCGTGCTCCCGGACTGCATTCTGAGTATTTTCATTTCACCGCAAACAGGCCCAGGAAAATGTCAGTGGTGCCTCCCGAGTGGCTTGCGGTAAGGAGCACGGGAGACGCCGGGAGAGAAAGTGCTGGGAACGTATCATTGCTAGTCGGGTGCACCCTGCCCCTCTTCGGTGACTAGAGGAGTTCTTCATTCATTCTCCTCACCCCCCCGGGGCACAGGCATCAGCCATGGGCCTCCCCCCATATTTCTGACATCCCTGGAGCTACCCTGGGGAGATCATCCCAGAACACGGCCGAGGGTCAGTCTTTATGCATTTAAACATCACAAGAACATCACCAATTTCAAGGCAGCAAATAAACAGCAGGAAAGATAACATTTGCTTTGTCTACATCGGGGGTTTCTCAAACCCTGGACGGCATAATTCCTAGCTGTGCCTTGTAGGTCTTTTAAGAACATCCCTGGTCACCACCCCCTAGACACCAGGAGCACTAATCCCAGTTGTCATACTCGAAAGTGTCCCCAGAGACTGCCTAAATTGGGGGGTGCCAAATCACCCCCCAGTTGAGTACTACCAGTACACATAAAGAAATGAGGGCGGGGGTTGGTGGAGGGAGGGAGAGATGCCCGTTGGCCGGCATTTTGTTGCTGCAGAAAGATTGGGGGGGGTATAAAAGCAGAAGGGGAAGGGGCTGCCCGTTTGCAGCAGGAATGTGGCATCTCTCACCTGCCCAGCTGGAGGGCTGTCAGCTCCACAGCCAGGGGCCACCCGGACGCTCATCATTTTGGGGGACCCAGGGAATGCGGCAGAAGGCGGGTCTTGGATCCGAAGCTAATGCCATCCAATACCACTAGCATTTTCCACATCCTGTGTGGGTGACAAGGGCCTGCCCTGCGGGGAAAGCCAACAGTTTAAAAGAGAGAAAGCTCTTTCTCCTAAGAAACCAACGTTTATTAATAATACATCCCCGAATTTCATGTCAACAAAGGGAACTTCTCACCGCAGAGAAATATAGGCCATCCAAGGAGATGTCAGCGGCCTCCAGTTCTGAATTTTTTTTTTTTTTTTTTTTTGTCTTTTTCCCAAAGCAGCATATGGACCACAAAATCTCTCTCTGGGTAAGAGCCCATGAGAAACCCAAGTCAAAGCTTTTCTTCTCTGCTTGCCTTCTCTGTCATCATTCTGCTAAGGCAGAAAAGCAGTTACATTGCTAAAGTAGTAAGTGTAAAAAGAATCTTGGTTCTGTTCTAGGCATTTCCGAACAGCTCACAGGAAAGGTGGGATTGGACGAGGATGTCGCTGCTCGCCAGGCCTCGGCCAACCTCCAGTCCTTGAGGGAGAAGAAAGGGGATAAACACCGTCTGGGAACGTTCCAGAGTTGGAGATGATGCCAGAAATTTCCCAAGCCGGGCCACTCCTTTTTCCCTTCCCACCCCAAATTCCAGCCTCCTGCCTTTACACGGCGGCATTTCAACCAACCAAATCAGGGGCTACGACGTGACTGTGCTTCTGGACAAACAAAAATTAATATGGAAGGGAAAGAGACGCCACCCACCAATGTAGGTCGTGGCCCACTGTTCGGCCTCACCTGCTAAATGGTACCCATCCGCACAGATTAAAACAAAAGCCTGCCACATTCCAGGGCAGACACGGCTCTCCGGGGCAGCTCAGCCGGCAGTGAGCTGCAAACTCAGTAGCATGCTCTGGTCATTTCTAAATACTCTCTAGAAGGCAAGAGTTCAGGTCAAGTGAAAGCCGTCGCTGTCGCTGTCGCTTGACAAAACCCAACGGCCAGGGAGCAGGTGTAGCCTGCCAGGAAGCAAACAAAACCTTGTCTCACACAACAACAAACGGTTAACACCCTCAGCCTGTCAACACCAATTAGCCCGCCCTCCCAGCGGAAGCCTCTTAAGACGGATCCTGAAATCCAGCTAGGCCCTCCGTAAGCAGAGACGGTCACTGCGTGGCTTCCCGGAAGGAAGGGACCCTCAGTGGAAACTGAGGCCAGCAGGCACAGCCCTGAGGCCGCCTCTACCCTGAAGAGGCCACGTGGGGTGGGAGCCTAACGTTGCTGGACCCCAGGCGCGTTCGCTTTCGTGGGCTTCTTCCTGCATAATAATATCGATATTTGAATTGATTTTTGATATCACTGTAAGTACTCTAATAATTATTTTATTCTCTTAGTGTTTCAGGCAGATTTTAATGAATAGGTTCTTGTGGACCTGAAAATTAAAACATTTCCTTTGAATAATTTCATTTCCTTTGGGCTTGCTTTCTTCTAATTTTAAAAGAAATCAAACATTTTCCTGGGCCTCCCCATCAACCCCCGGCAGGTATCATGGGCCCCACGCACCGTGCCCACTGTGTCTCAGGGAGAAGCAAGCCCTGATTCAGTAGGAAACTGCAATTTTTAAAAAAATACCGTTGCCCGTGGCCTATAGATCCCACTCAACACAACTCCGGCCTATCTGGAAAGCACATTCCATTGATAAAATACTAACATCATATGGCCGGAACGTATACACTTAAGAGTGATTTACACAGAAGGACTCCAAGGGGCATAAAACAAAACCAACTCACCACACAAGATAGGTTTTCTTCAATATTTTATTTATATAGAAATACTTAAAAAATGAAGTAGCACCATTCCTTAAGTTTTACCTTTATTATGTAGAACTTTAAATGTCAGAAAAATAAAACTCTTGATACAATTTCAAATCTTGTCTCAGCAAATATAATATTAGTATTTGACCATGAGGTTAAAGGCCCTTTATCATAAAATAAAATATACTTTGTTTTTTAAACTTTGCTCAGTAAAGTACATTTAAGCTCAAGTAACATCACCTACATATACATAAACAAGTGGTAAACAAATGTATTAAAATAGAAATACTAAAACTATAGTGGCCCAACAGAATTTTTGTAGCTTGCACTGAATTCTATTTATACAAATGTTAGAAAGCATCAACAGTTCCTTTTGACATGTTTATACATTTCCGTGGTTTTTTTTGTAATAATATAGAATAAAATATGCTTTATATCACTGAATAGAAAATATGCTGGGTGAAGCATTTCTAGATTTGTCTGAACCTATAAAATCTCCATCCCAACAGAATACTGTTCAAAACATTACACATTTTATGGTTTTGTAATTCCATCACGATTGTGTGGTTATTAAAATAATACAGTGTTCTTTGCCATAAGGCCATACTAAAATAAAAAGATTTAACCCAGCTACAAAAAAGTTCACTGAACTTAAATTAAAATACTTGTAAACATCTTTGCAATATGAAATATAATTTTTCAAGTCAAAAAAGAATAAAATACTTCAATCTGTATTAATGCAATTTCTCTTTAAAACTTTTAAACGTTTTTAATATATAAGAGATATGTTACAGTTTGTTTTAACTTTTATAAAGCTGCAGTATCCTGGTTTCACAGGAACTCCTGGCCCTTCCACAACATTCAAAAAGGATCCACTGTGTTCTAGAATAAGCATCGTAGGAACCCAGCCACAAAGGGGAACACACGAAAACAGTCCACACATCCCATAGCACTATTATTATCCTCTTTGTCATAATAATTATTGTTCATTTTTTCTCCTACTTTAAGAAAATGGAAAACTTGTGGGGTTTTCTTCTTTTGGAAGCTTCCTATGAAGTACAGTGTACAAACTATCATTACTAGAGTGTCGCCGTTCCTATTATTTATAGAGCATGCATTTCAGGTGGTTCGGGGGCTTCCCGGGCTATAGTACTCTTGATGCAGATATCCTGGCAAGTTCCTTTGTTTAAAAATTAAAAATTTTAAAAAACGAGCGGATACTACAGCTTCCCAAGCTCCTCTCGGATCTCAGAGTGTGAGCGGGGGTGGGGGAGGAGGGGGTGGGGGCACCAAGGCGGCGGGCGGGCGCCGGCAGGGTGGTGGCGGCGGCGGCGGCGGCGGCGAGGGTGGGGGGGTCCGAGGCTGGAGGGGAGGGGACCCCCGGCCCCCGCGGGGTGCGCGCAGGCGCGCCGCCTTCAGGAAAAGATGCGGATGGCCTGGGTGACCGCGGTGTGGCAGACCGGGCACTCGGGCTCGCTCTTCTCGCAGATGCGGTTGGCGCACTCCATGCAGAAGAGGTTGTGGCCGCAGGGCACGAGCGCGGCGATCACTTCGCTCTCGAAGCACACGGAGCAGTCGCGGCTGCCCTTTCGCCGCAACCCCGACGACGAGGAGGAGGAGCTGGACGAGGAGCTGGACGACGACGAGGAGCCGGAGGTGTCCGACGGCGGCAGGCCGGGCAGCTGCGCCCCCAGCCCGTTGGCATAGGCGGCGTAGGTCAGGCCCCCTCCGCCCGGGTCGCTGCGCACCCGGCGCGCCAGGTGGTGCTCGCCCGCCCCCGGCGCCATGTGCAAGGGCGGGGACAGGCGCGGGCAGCTGGCGCCCGGGTGCAGCCGGCGGTGCACCAGCAGCCCCAGGTTGGCATTGGCGGGCGCGCTGGCGCCGCCCCCGGGAAAGACCACGGAGGACGACGAAGCGGACGAAGACGCGGAGGACGAGCAGGAGGACGACACCGGCGCCGCAGGGCCGCCTCCGGGGGAGCGCTCGAACTGAGCCCAGAGCAGCGGCGCCCCAGGCGGGGGAGCGGGAGCCGGGTCGAAGGTGGGCTGCAGCTCGGGACAGCCGTCGGGGGAAGGCACGGAAGCTTCCCCCGCCGCGTAGGTGTATCCGTTGCCGTTGTTGTTGTTCCCGTTGTGGGCAAAGCTGAGCGCCGGGCTGGGGGGGCTGTAGTCCGCCAGGCGCGGGGTGGCGGCTGTGCTGCCGCCGGTCCCCCCGCCGAAGTAGGAGTCTGTGGACGCGCTGCCGAGCGAGCTGGAGCTGTCGTTGCGGTAGCTAGAGAAAGGCTTGCGGCCGGGGGTGGGCGTGATGCTGGGGGTGGGCTTGCTCCAGAGGCTGCCTGGGCCGGACCCGCCGGACCCGTGGTGCAGATCGAAGCCCACGTCCGTGCCGTTGGCGTGGAAGTCGTTCTCATCTGTGAGCTCGATGATGCCGCCGGTGCGCAGGGCGATGTGCGCCTCGATCTCCTCGCGAGCTCGGTCCACGTTCTCAGGCATGCCAGTCACCTCGAACACGGGCTCCTTGTCGCGGCTGGGCGTCACGATGTACGTGTGCGTCTGTTGTTGGATGCGCTTGATCGTGGCGCCCTTGGGCCCCACCACGAGCCCCACCACGCGATAGGGCACGCGCACCTGGATGGTGGTCTGTCCAGGCAGGTTGGGCGGACCGGGCACTGCGCCGTTGAGCGCCGTGTTCTTATTCCGCGAGGCGCGGATCATGGAGAAGTGCTCCGCGGCAGAGATGATCTCCCTCCGAGCCATGGCCACATCCTCCTTCCTGCCCGTCACAACAAAGACAGGCTCCTCCCCGCGAACCGGGGTCTTGATGTAAGTATTGGTCTTCGCCCGCAGCGCTTTGATTTTACAACCTGGGAGCCAGGGTGCAGGGGAGGGAGTGGGAGAGAGAGAGACAGACACGCCCATTATCCCGGGGTAACCGCGGAGACCTGGGACCGCCAGCGTCCAGGGCTGCGGGGCTGCAGGACACGCTTCGGGCGGAAAGGGGGCGGCTCCCTCACTGACCCTGGGCCACGCCACGGGCTGGGAAGCGGATTCCACCCGCGAGGCGCTCGAGGAACAGCCCATTGGCTGCCCAGTCCTCCCCCAGTGACTGCAGTCGTCCCGAGCAAACCCGAGAATCCCAGGAAAAAGTCAGCTAGGGAGATGCCGCTAGGATCCAGCGGGGCGCGCCGTCCGCCCTGAAGGCGCGGCGAAAGGGTTCAAGGAACAGGGCCGGGGCCGTGAAGCCCCCCAGAACTAGGGTACTGATGAGAAGGGGGGGCAGTCCCGGGACCCATTGTTCCTCCTCTGGGCTCCATTCCGCTTTGCAGAAATCCAGAATCCTCCTCCCATCCGATGCTCACTCCTCCTCCTCCCCCTCCCAAAGGACCGATCAAAGGCCCCCTCCCCCAAGCATCTTATATTTAAATTCTGTTTCCCGGGGTGGGCTGGGTGGGGGGCGCTAGGGGAGAAGGCAGTGATTTTAGCAGGATAAAGTGCATCCCGCCGTGGCAGCGGCGCGGCTCCGAGAGACAGCCTGCCTGCACTTTCTTTGTCTGGGGCGCCGGCCCATCGCGCGGCTCTTCCTCTCTCCCCCAGGCTCGCGGGCGCCGCGGATCCCGAACCCACTCGCGCCCTCCCCGCGGGGCGGTGGCCCGAGACCCTCTCCCCTCCAGCCCCCCATCTCCGCCGGACCCACCTTGCCGCCCCACGATCTCAGCGACATGCTCGGAACTGGGCACCGGCACGCACTCGGTCATGTTCACGCTCTTCTTGCGCGGCTCACTGTCGTACAGAGAGGCGCCCTCGTCACTGTCCAGCCCCAGCAGGGAGAGCTGATCGAGCGCGAGCTGCAGGGCTCTTTGGTCATCCAGGGTCTCTCCGCCGCCGCCGCCGCCGCCGCCGCCGCCACCGCCGCCGCCTCCCCCTCCGCCGCCGCTGCCGTTGCGCTCCAGGTCTGCAAACAGGGAGCTGGGCATCGCTCGGCCGTGCGCGCCGCGCCCCCGCCGGCCCTCGGCTCGGCGGCGAGAAGCTGCGGCCACAAAGGCAGCCGGGAAGCGAGTGGTCAGGGGCGGGGAGGCCGGCCGGCTGCAGAGGGCTCCGTTGCTCCTTTCTCAGCGCCGGGAGGAGTGGGTCGCTCGGTGCGATCGGCGCCGGGCAGTGGCCGCAGGAGCCCCCGCCTGGGTCCCCACCCCAGATCTGCCGGCGGGTGGGGTGGGGGCAAAGCTCGAGCGGCAGCCGCGCGTGCCCCCCGAGTGCCCGGCTGGCTGGCCACAATGCCGAGCGAGAAGCGAGCAGGCGAGCGACAGCAGCGTTTCTTTAAGGAGCCCCTCCCCGGCTCCTCCACTCCCTCCCTCCCGCCCGCCCGCCCTCACTCAGCGCTTTTTCCTCCTCTCCTCCCCGCCTCTTGACTGAGCCTCTGCAGCCAGACGGCTCCGGAGGGGGACGAGGGAGGCGCAACGTCACCGGCGGGAGCTGACACTACAATGCTACTGACACTATCGCTGGGGGAGGCGATTGGCGCGCGCCGGGCCGGGGGCGGGCGGAGGCCGCGGTCAGGGCGAGCCGAGAGCGAGCGCCCCCCACCCCCGCGCTCGCCGCAGCCCGCCCCGTCCTCCTCCCGGCCGCACCCCTCCCCCGCCGCCGCTAACGCCTCTCTTTGTTGTCTAATGCGGGACCGGCAGGCTCGGGACACTCGCGCGTACCTATCGGCTGAGGACAGTCTGTCCCCAGCTCTCCTCCCTCGCCTGATGGAGAAAAGAAAACGCGCCCAACTCGGATGCCCGCGGCCGGGCTCTAAGAGAGCGGTCCTGAGAAAGTCCCGTTAGCGTCCCCAAATAAACCACCCCTAGAGCCCACGGTGCCACTGGGAGAAGGGTCTATTGTCTGCCGCAAAGGGCGGTCCGAGCCCTCGGGCCCGAAAAGCGGGACTCGAGGTCCCGGTGCGCACGGGCCAAGTGGCTCCTGGCGCGGGTCGCCCACCTGCGCGGGAGCGCAGGAGACACAAAGGCAGAGGCCCGCCCGCATCGCTTCTCGCTCGCGCGCGCGCCCGCAGCTTTGTGCCCCTTGGGCAGCACTTCGTCCAACTGGCCCTCAAACTGTGGCCGGGCCAGCCAGACACCCGCCGCAGCGCGGGCCCGGCCCGCCCTGCGGCCCGCGACCTCCGGAATGTGCGGCGCGGTGGTCCCGCACCCGCCCCGCGCGCCGGCCGAGCCCCTGCGGGCGCTGACACGTGCACGAGCGCCGCGCGGCCACCGCGGGGACGCCAGCCATGGCTCCGGCGAGCGGCGCGGGCGTGCGCGCGCCGCCGTCCCGTCCCTCCCCCGCCCCGCGGTCGGGCATGCGCGGTGCGCGCCGGGAGCGGGCGGGCCCTTTAAGGCGGGCGCGGCGGAGCGCGCGCCGGCCCCTCCCGCGGCCCCGCCCCGACGGGAGGTGTGCGCCCGCCGGCCCGCCGCTCTTTGTGCGCTTCTTGGGGTGGGGTTGGCGGCGGAGGGAGGGCGCGCCCGGACCGGCCGGCGGGGACGGCGAGCTGCGCCCCCTCCCGGATCTCCCGGAGCCGCCTCGCAGCGCGCGAGAAGAAAGGAGGCTTTGAGGGCCGGGCCGGAGCACGCCGCCTGCTCGCCGGCCGCCGCCCCGTCCCCCTGCGCTCGGGCTGGCCGCGCCGCCCCCGGGGCCGGTGCCCCCTCGGGTCCCGCGCGCGCTCCTCTGCTTTGTTGCCGGCACTCCCAGGCTCGCCGCGTCCCCGCGCCCGGCCGGCGGGGTCGCTCCGCAAGCGGCCGGGACTGCGGTTTGCCGTGAACGCCCGCGTCCGCGCGGCGGGACGCCCGCCCGGGACAATGAGGCCATGTGGCCGCCGCCTTGGACGGGCTCACTCGGGGGACCTAACGGTGCCGCGGGGCAAGCTCGGGGCGCGCAGGCAGAGCTCCCCGGTGCTTGTTCCCTGGGTGACCCCGCGAGGAGAGCGGGCGCCCGGGCCTCGGTGTGCCCTGCGTCAAATGGGGGGGGGGGGGTCGTACCTGCCCCGGCCACCTCGTGGGTTCGGAGGACTGTGACAGTAGATGCGAGGGCGCTGGGCGATCAGGCGGTCTGGCAACGCCTTCCCGCCGGAGACAGGAAGGTGTTCCTTCTCGCTCACCTGGAGCTGTCTTGGGGAAGAGGTGCTGATTATCTCCTTGGGGAAATGAGGCTTAGAAGCCACTTACAGTGGTGATTTCCTCAGGATGTTTCTGTCAGCGTCCCTGAGCCTGGGGTGTGTTTCTTCAAAGGGAGTGATGGATGGGTCGGAGGAGGGTGCGCAGTCCTCCCAGAGCCACCACCTAGAACTCGGGTGGAGAATTCTTTGACCTGGTTTATGGACTCAAGTACCAGCAATCTGTGAACGAGGAGGGGGTGCCTTGAGGATGGAGGTTCTGGGAGGAGAGGGTCCTGGCTGGTCCAGGCGCCTCACCCGGGGCCTGTAAACACCAGAGCAGACAGAAAAAGCACTCCAAAGGCCTCGCCATTTATATCTTGCCCACACAACAGGCTAGTAGGAGTGTATTAGGCTCCCCATTAGGCCAGCTGAGGTTTCTTTTTTCAGATAACACGATGGATGGAAGTAAAGTTGCTGCCAGAGTCCACTGCTGGTGAGGCCTGTACATAGGTAAATGGGCCCTCCTCCTCCCCAGGGCTTGCTTGTGTGGGAAACAGGCCTGCACACAGCGTCCCCCTCCAGTCTGCAGTGCTGGGATTTCAGATGGGTTAAATCAAAATTGTTCAGAGGGCTGCATGCTTCAGAATCCCTGGGGTCCTTTCCCAGGAAGGTGAACGTGACACCTTGCATAGGGGACAGGTGTCTTTCTCCCCTACCGGATCATGAAGGCAGAAGCTGTCTATAATTCCACATGTCCGGTGAAAGCACACATCATAGCTCACAAGAGGATGAGGCTGGGAATTCATGGAAAGCTGCTAAGGCCCAGGTGCCCATGACATTCCTTGTAGCCTGGGTCACGCTCCGTAGACCAGAATGCTCTGGGAAGACTGATGCAAAGATGGGATCGTTTTCTGAAGATACCCCCAAGATACAAGGCCCTCCAGAGATCCTGGGAGGGTGATGGCCATGGTAGCAGACCATTCTAGTCTGATGTTTGACAGCGCGGATTCCCAGTGGAGCCCTGCTTCAGTGTCCTGTCCTATGGAAAGAGGCTAGAATCCGGCTTCCCACCTGCCTCGGGGGGTTCTGTTAGCAGAGGGATAATGACAGTGAAAGCTGCCTCATTGTAAATTACAAAGTACTGAGCAAACGTGTGGGAGATGAGTGCTTCACCTGCCACCCTTTACCTCCCCGACCTGTATCCAGGACTGACTGGCCAGGGTATTTTCTGACACTTGAATGCTATTATGAAGTAACAATCTGGAAAAATTAATTCTCAATGAATGGGTTTAATAAGCCAAGATGTGACAAAACTTGCCAAGTCCAGTTCTGTTTTTATATAGATAATACAACCCAACTCCATAGTTTCTGGCTAGACTTTCCCAGGCTCCTTTAGGACCCCAGTGCTTAACTACTTCTCCTGATACAGGACATGTTCCCTAAGGACTTCCCCAATGTGGCCATACTATTTTTTTTTTTATTAGCAAAAGAGAGGGCCTTGAAGAGTGTGATCTGGTAACATAATAGAGAATTTCAGTTGTTATAAGACAAAGTAGTCACTCACAACAACCGAGACTGACAGTGAGCCCACCTCGTACGTGTTTCCAGAGGACTTGGAACCGTTCGGCGCACATCTGGCTTGCTTCGGCCACTGGAGAGCTGGCGAAGGCAGCTACCGTCCTCATGGGAAAACAAGCGCACTTTCAGTCAACTCCACATTACTGAGAATCTACTTATTTTATTATACACAGCCGGAAAGCACTGATGATACAGAAATGAACATGGCGGGTGGGTGGGGAGGGGTCCTTTCCCCTGGAACCCCATTCATGTCCAAAGTCAGTTACACAGCAGGGCAGTAGTGAGTCTGCCTGGAGTCCTAGGAAGGCTTCCCAGAGGCAGGGACGTTTGTGTTGTGCTTTCAGAAACGAGGTGGGAGAATGGAGACCAGGATCTCCTGTGGCACGTGGTATCTGGTAGGAACTCAGTCGGTGTTCATTAAATGAACGAGTGAGGTAGGCTGGAGAGGCTGCAGGTGTAATTTTCTTAAGTATGGATGTGAGTAAGCGTCTCTGGGAAGCAGCGCCAGTGACCCCAGCCACAGCTGCCGGACTCTGAGGAGTCACAGGCCGTATTTATCGAGCCCTCGCTGTGCGCCAGGCAGCTTACCCAGTGCTCTGCAGCGCACCCTCTTGTGTGAGCCTCCAAACCCCGAAGTTCGGGTCTTCTCTTGGCCCCATTTACAGATGAAGGGAAGTCAAGTCACTTGCCCAAGTGAGGACAGACGGTCTTGAGGCAGGTAAATACAGCTCAAGCTTCTGGGCCTTTCCATGGCCTTGCGGGGGAGGTCAGAGCAATCTAGGTACAAGATTGCATGTTTTAATAACATTTTCAAGAGTCACATTTTTATTCTTTTCCTTGAGGACACCAACACTGACGTGATAAGCCCGATAAATCCGAGTCGCTGTTGCGCTCAAGGTGGCACAGCTGATAAATGATACCCAAGCCTGTGATCATGAGCACCCCAGGCTCCTTCCCACCCCTGGGCGGTGGAATTCCCCAGCTGGAAGCTGGCGGTGTTTCCGCTCCCCCCCCCCGCGACAGGGCTGCAATGATCACCTGTGAGAGCCCTGCGAAGCATCTTGATTTTTGATGTCCTGTTCAGTCTTTGTATTGTTAACATATACGTCACATGGAACACATGAAACACACGTTTTTAAGAATATTTTACTATAGGAAATGCTCTCCTTATGTTGGATGAACAAAAAAGCAGCTAAGAGGTGTGTGTGTTACTAAACACTCAGGAAGCATTAGGAGAAGCAAATGGATTCGGCTGGAAAGCAATACATCAAAATCTTCCCGATGGTTACTTAAGTCGTGGGCCCACATTTTATTTTCAGGGTTCCCCGTGTTTCAAGTTCTGAACATCTTTACTCAATTAGTTTTTAAAAGGAATACGTGCTTAGCTTAAAAGTTAAATAGTGCTAAAAGGGCTTAATAAAAGCACCTGATAGAAGTAGAAGGAGGAGAAGAAAACACCTAACGTGAATCCTAGCACACATGTATATTTATTAAAGCTTTTGGAATTATGAGAGTAGAGAGGAAGTTTC